GCTTTTCACCATGGGCAGGCCTCCAGGCAAGCCCTGTGACAAGAGGTCTTGGGACTGACTCAAACTGGTGGCAGGTCCTATTCTTTCAATAACTATCTCGGTGGCTATGTGATAAAGTAGTTCACAGTTTAGAATTTAAATGGAAGATCAATGTTAGAGAGGGAATATGTAAAGTAGTACCCTATAAATAGTGGGGAAAATAGCACTTGTAAGTATGATAATATATCTAAAAGAGTAGCAGAGAACATTCCTATGATTTCAGAATGAAATTCCAGAATATCTGTTAACAAGAAAGGCTCTTTCTTAACCGCATCAGAATAATTGATGTCTGCTATGTTTTCAGAGACTAACAAAATAGGAAATTTCACTTCTTTATTCCTGATAACACAGTTTAGCACAGGGTCTAAAAATACTCCTGTCAGTATGTATTGTTATCTATTGAAATATTTGTGTTTAACAGCCTACACTGATTCTTTTGTTCTGAGTAGACAGGAATTCTTCAACAGGAGAAATACAGGAGATGGAGTCACCACTTGAAAAGGACTAATAGTTCTTATTAACTCAGTCTAAACCATTCTAGTTAGTGCTGTCCTTTTCTTATATGACCATATTTATGATCCTCCAGGGCCTTTATCCCTCTTCAACAAGGAAACAAGTACAGTGAGACATGTATCTCCAGAAATGTCTCACCTCATGAGAAAGAGAGTTCCAAATCATATGTCTGGAAGGAGTAAGAAAGTTTCTCACTCTTTTTATAAAGGCAAAACCAAAGTTGTTAAAAACAAGTCATTATCCAACCCCACAAGTATAAATATATAATATTATGGGGCATGGATTGAATGTGTCAGAATAAAGAGCCTTTTCTCCTGATCATCTAGCTAGCGGATTATGCATTTATTTATGTAGAATCTTTTCTCACTACCAGCATATGAGCTCCAGAAAATCGAGACTTTCTTTGTTTGGTCATCTTATTTTGTTTGCTGTAATAACTCTAGTGCTTAGAACCTTCTTAATAGATATGTTAGAGAAATTATTGATCAAGTAAATGAACTACTATTATCGTTCATTTAAAAGACCTACAATTCCCACACTTGAATTTTGATGTCCTAAATTTATCTTTGAAAATTACAAGACTTAAAATAGTTTGTGAAAAGCTTCTCCTTCCATATTAATATGTACCCTAAGCATATTTTTCTAGGAGTAAGGGTGGCAAGCACCTAATACAGAATTTTCCCTATATGGGGCACTAGCTATTCCAAACTAAAACATAAAATGCCAACATAGGGAATTCCTTCTGCTTATTTTATCTGATTCTTTAGGATTATACATATGGGATATATAAAAAAATGAATGTCAAGATATGAGCAAGTTGTTCATGGTTTCTAAAAGCTTATTTTGTATATCATGGATGAGTCAAGCAATGCTTAGGAAATTAGAAAAAGCAAATAAAACAGGGTCAAAAGAGGATAATTATGAAAATAGTAAATACGGGGCCAGAGACCTAGTATGAAAGGTAAGAGACTCGCCTTGCATGCTGCTGCTGAGACCCTGAATCAAACCCCCTATCCCACATATAGACCCCTGAACCTTGCTATGAGTAACTCCTGAGCACAAAGTAAGAATAGCACTATAATATATGGCCCTAAAACCAATAAAGAAATTAATTAATGATAAGTAAACAGTAATCACCACCCACCCCTCAATAAAAGCCACACATACACAAGCACACACACAAACCCTGAGAAGTCAAGATTTGAATGTTTTGTGGTAAAGTTTAATTGCTAAGCGGTAAGTCCTCTTAGCACAGGGCTTAGGGGATGGAGATCCAGGGAGCAAATACAAGGGAAGAAAAGTTTCTGCCTGATCGCAAAATCTAGGCTCCTCAGACTGGTGAGCCCTGACTTAACTATAGTATGCATTTCCACATTTTAAAGTTGAGGTTTTTCTGTATGTGGCATGCCTGAGTATTATTATGCCCAGAAAGGTGGGCACCATGCCCCAGACTGAATCTTAAGGAAATGGCAACAATGTTTTTATTCTTTCATTCTATAATAATGTGTTGAATTTTTAACCCATGAACAGAGACTGGGGATTCATTGTGCTCTCAAAATATAACACCTACTAATTTTATGAATAATCACTTTAATGATTTTATAGCTATAAACTAAGATGAAGGAAAACAAGATTAGATGAGAAGGCAAACTCAAGGAAAAGTAGCACTGATGGGCCAAGAGAGTGTTGGTGAGGAAAGGCTTCCTGGAGGAAGTAATCCAGGAAGTAAATTCAGTTTAATTTAAAATAAGAATTAAGTATGGTATGGGGGGGGGGAGGGAATCATTGAAACAAAGAGAAAATGTATAAGTTCGTTGTGAGGAAAGACACAGGGAGAGATTTTGATTATTTGAATACTGTAGCCACTGGGTGGTTAAAACGCTATGCCAAATATCATTGGAAACAAGCGCATCTTTAGCTTTAATATGATAACAGCAGGCTATTCTAGTCTTTACTACTAGCAACTTTACTACTCATTTTTTCTTTCATTTTCTATTATTTCTTTCATATTTTCGTCTCCCACATGAGTCTTAATCAAGATTCAAAAGGTAGAACAAAGACAAAATGAAAGGTGATAGAAAAGTGAAAAGCCTCTTTCTAGGAGATGGAAATTACTTTCTGGGAAGCAGTGAGATATGTGGGGAGGTCTGGGGGTTAGAATGGACAGCTTTTGGAAAGCCTTGGAAGTCCGAAGAAGGAATTTATACCTGAAATTTCAGGGAATTGTTTTGGTCCCTAGATCTGTGAGACATAGGATAAAAAATAAATGGTTATTTTGTTTCCTTATTCGCAAAAACCATCAAGTTTGATATAGTGGGATTTATTCCCTTAGAGTGAGTAGCTGTGTTCACTATATACCTATAGTACTAAGTGAGGCACTGTAGCACTGTAGTACTGTCCTCGCATTGTTCATCGGCATGCACTAATCTAATGAGCCTGAAACAAAGCTTTGTTTCTTATTTTGTGTTGAATGCATATTACATACTTCAGATTACCTGGGAGTATCTGTTAAAACAAAGGTTCTGAGGACCTATTCTATATCTACTGAGTCAAAAGCATAGCTGGAGCCTGAGACTTTACATTTGAATAAAGAGCACAGGTGAATTTCGAGGGAAGCAAAGGACACAGACATCAGCCAGCCACCCTGGCTGTTCATGCGGTAATCCACTTGATTACCACACAAAGACTGCTTTGGTTACCATGGGGACTCAGGAGCCAACTTCAATGGAAGAAATAGCATGAAGTGAATGTCTGGTTGTTGGAAATGGAGGAGAGGAAAGTGTCCTGGAGAACTGTCAAATCACCACAAACTAAGAAGCATCAACTAGTAACCAGATTACTTGTTAGACCCTAGATATTCGGCATGTTGTTAGCAGTGAAAGGAGAACAAAGCTAAGGACTCAGCAACGAGGTTAAAATGCTTAAAACAAATAGGAAAATGAAAAAGAAGGTAGGGGGAAAAAAGAAACCGTTTACTATCCCTGGAAACCTAGGCTACATAAAACTGAGGGAGCTGTCAATTAGAATAGAATTTATTATGCAAGAAATTGGCATAGATGCTCTTCTCACCATAAAGGTGCTTAACAAAATGAGGTGGGATCAGGAGAGTCAGAGAGATGACATAGGAGAGAAGCAGAAAGAGTAGGTAGAGGAATTGGGGATAAAAGCTAGAAGATTTAGAAATCAGGGAGAAAAGAAATAAAGAGACGTAAGCGTTAAAGGGAAGTTACAAAGTTAAGTGATTTGTTAGCAATTCTGAATAGGAAAGTAGAAGATAGTATACATTAACAATATTTTACACTTATAAAAATAGTGTTTTTAAGCTTTTTGATATTTTCATGTGTAAATATAATTTTGGGGATCCAGTCACAAATAGAGTTAATAGAAGACGAGGCAATCAATTGCTTTTGCAACCTTTTTTTCCCTTTAGGAATTACTATACATACAATACATACCATGATGGTATGCTTTCAACATTTTAGTGGGACATTAATGATAAAATTATTTGAATTTACTTCTTTTTCAAATAATTATAACTTTAGTGGAATGTATATTTTGCTATGGCTTTTAAATTGAATATTAATCAGCACATTTAATCCTTGTGTGCAGGATTTACCCACAGCAAACAATAATGGCATACTAAACACAAGAGATCAAACCTTAAAAGCTTATATACTAATGGTTATTTAGTTTTCAAAATCTACAGTTAATAAGAATTGGCAATAAAGCTTGTTAAAAATTTCTTTTGTTCAGTATCCATTGTGTTTTTCTTGAAGGCTCATTTGCTCTTTTAAAATGATTGAAGCTGAGATCTCCACCTAGTGGATTTATGAAATGTTGCAGATTTTAAGAAACAGTTTACTATCCCTAAAAACTTTTTTCTCTGAAATAACAGGTTTTAAAATTTTTCTACTGTTTCTAGGATAATTGTTAAAAGAATAGTCACAAATGGTTGAAATATATCAATATGTATATCAACTAGAGTACAGTTAATAAAGCTCAAATTCTATTTTTATGCCATAATTAAGAAAACAGATCAGGCAATAATATGAATATATTATCATTTGAATAGAAAGCAGTATGCTAATGCACTAAAAGATATATGTATAATAATTTTCATAAAATAAATATCAAAAGTGTAAATGTGCTTAAGCCCTTTCTTCTTAATCTTTCATTTGCTAAAGCCTTCATTTTATTTTAATGTTTTTTATTTTAATTTGTTTTCTTTCCTGGTCTAAGTAAAAGTTTTCTCTTTCATTTTATCATTTAATAAATCAAACTCAATTTTATCAAACATATTTTATCACTCCATCTTTTGTTTTTGTACAGCATTCAACTATGTATCTAAAAAATTAATAACAGTTCTTGAGAATTGTTTTCTTACAGAAGAAAATGTATCCCTAATGCATGCAAAGGCTGGGGGAATTTCTGTATTATTTTACAGAAAGCTAAGGTAAAAAGTGATTATTATTTGAGTTATTTTGTTCTGACTCTAAAAGTGATGTATTAGCATATTCAGCAGTTGGTAAATGCAACATAGGTTTTGGAACAGAGTTTTCAGCTTCATTTTTTCTAGGAATTTGAGACACTTCATTTTCTTTCTCAAAACCACTGTTTTTTAAGTCTGGTAAGAGGGAAAGTACTTCTTGTGTCTCCATTGTAGATGCACCTTCTTCATGTTCTCCGTTATCTGTATCTGGTTGAATATTTTGATTATCTCTTAAATCATGTGTTTTCTTGTTAATTTGAAGATCACTTTCACTTTCACTACAAAGTACTCTATTTTCAGTTCCATGGGATCTTGTAACACTCAACTCCTTAGCTGTAATGGTGGTCTCACCAGAACTTGATTCAGATGATTCATGTTTTTCACTTTTTCCCTTTCCCCAAGTCCGCTGCTTTTCTTTTGTGGTGCCTTTTAAGGTCATCTGTACTGTCTGAATTGACGTGCTAGAATTTGCCATGCTTTTATCAGGTGTTTTTCCCTCTTCTTTCGCTATTATTTTTATCTCTAGTGCTTCAGTGCCGTCATCTCTTGGCAATGCGTCTGTCCTGTCAATTCCCTCTTCACTCTTATTGGTTAGTTGCCAAATGGCTTGAGTAGGGAGAGAAGTACTGATATCCTTGGGAAGCTCTGTTCTATTTTGGTATGGAATAGAATTTATCTTTGCAAGTGTTAGGCTGTCCTTGGACTGTGTCCGGGGAATGAGAATGAAATCTCCTGTTTCTGTTTTCAGACTTTTGTTCCCCATATCATGCTCCTCATCCATAAGACAAGTTTCTGCAATTTTATGTAATATCTGGGGTCTTGTCATTAACAGTTTTCCTCTTTCTCCAAGTATTTCATAACTTGAGTCTTGTTCTACTTGTTGAAAAGTTTGATTCTTATCTGGAGTATGTTCTTTGTCGGTGCCAGTCTTGTGAACACCTAGAAGTTGTGTTTGATTCCCTAAGGACCAAGAAACCTGGTCAGTGGTCATTGATTTGTCTTGTTCTAAGTGCTTAGTCGACTCTGTTGATGCTTGGTCTGTCACCTCCCTGGAATGGTGGCATGGAAGAACACTTGGGATGCTTTTCCTAATAGCTGGCAAGTAACTTGGTACTTCCAATGAGAGGTGAGTGGAGTCTTCCATTTGCTCAGTTGAGAGCTGAGTGTGTGAGTTCTGATACTCAGCTAGCATGAGTATGGGCTGAGGTAATGTTGATGAGTTTCCAGCTGGAATGTGCCCATCATGGCAGCCTTTATCTTCTACTGAACTCTGGCTGACTAAAGACAAGTTAGTGCTGAGCAGAAGGGCCTTTTTGGTGTTTTCTTTGTAGTATGGGGTCTGCTTTGGAGCATGTTTGCAAGGCAACGGCTTTGAAGTGAACCTAACATAGCTGTTACTCTCTGGCTGTTGGTGAAAATCTACAGAGGTCATAAGGTTTATTTTGGCTTCTTTGTCAGAAGCTTTGGATAATTTATTAGGAAATAAGACATGTTTGCGTTTCTTTGGGAGCACTGGCAAGATCTTTTCTGGATGAACCCTGACTTTTCTAAAAGGATGCACATTTAATTTTATCCGTAAATTTTGTCCTTTAAACTTTCCTTTGAGGTCAGATTGATTGGTTCTCTTTCTTTTCAGAATCTGTGGATCAGTGAACCACTTTTCTCCTTGGTTTTTCACCTGAGGATTGTTGTGTTTTTTGAGATCCTGAGATTGTTGCGTTTTTATTGTGTGGCTACTTTGATTTGTCTGTTTCCAATGGGTTGATGATTTGGGTGAAATCACAAATCGATTTTTCTCAGCTAAACCAAAGTTGTGGAAATGAAACTTCTTTGGGGTGTATGTTTCCTTGATTTTTATTGGTAAATTTGATAACTTCATGTTGTCCTCATTCATAAGGAATTTTTCTATTGCACTGTTAATTTGGAATTGTTCTTTTTCAGGCTTTGAATGGTCTCTATGATTTGGCTTCTTTTTCTTCATATAATCTAGAAACTGATCACAGGGCACATATTTACAGATAAGAGAATTGCTTGGCTGAAAATACCTAGGCCTGTTCTGTTTCAATAGTCCACAAGGATCGTGATATTTTGATCTATGTTTTTCTAAGATCTTTTGTGCGTAGTGTTCCTCAGGCTCACAAGGCTTAGATGAGGAGCTTGTAATAAAATGTCTTTGCCTGTGAGGTTGTAAGCCATTGTCTCCCTTTTCTATGGGAGGCTGCCATGATTCATTTGTTAAATGCTTTTCAAGATTTTTTCTTGCCAAGCCTGAAGCGGGTGTTGCATATCTTCTACTAAATGTGTCATTGCTGGTATCTGCTGAACAATAAATGCAGGAATTTAGCAATGAGCAGAGTTTTATTACCCTAAACAAACAGGTGTGTAGAAACAATGTCAAAGGCACAAAAATGAATCCTAATGATTACAAATCTTGAAATATTTTCTAATTTTTAGCCAAATGAACAAAGGAGATTTGGCACGTCTGTGTGCTTGTATATTATTTTTAAGGGAGTGAGTGTGAGGGACATACTCGATAGTGCTCAGGACTACTGCTGACCCAGTCCTCAAGTACCACTCAGTACAGGGGGCTATGAAGTGGTGGAGACGAAACTCATTGCTCCATTGTGCAAAGCAAATATTCCAACCCTTTTGACTATTTTCTTAACTTGCAATGACATTCTTTGTGGCTATGTTTTAATATGTTGTAGTAATGATTTAAAAGTGGTGGAATTAGGAGGGTGAGGAAGACGGGTGATAGTATAACATGCTTCTCTTGCATGCAATCAACCCAGATTTGATGTCTGGTACCTTTTATGGTTTCCCAAACTTCACCAGAATGATCCCTGAGCACAAAGTCAGGAGTGAGCCTAAGCACAGCAAGGTGTGGCCCAAACAAAACAAAACAAAATGCCGTGAAATTAGAAACAAAATATTAATATTGTACATATTTAGATTGTATGTTAATTTGGTTAGAATAATATATAAATAAGATCCAAATGGTCATTGGAAATTTCTTTTCTGACTTCACTTACCCTTGGAACTAAATATCAGTGAGAAAAATGATGAAGTATTGGATAGTATTTAGGTTATAACAAAAAAAAAACCTCAGCAGCAGAAAAGAGGTACTACTGTCTCTATCATAGTAGAGATTATGTATTTTATCTATCATCACTTAATATAATAGACATGAAATATTTGTTAAATGAGTAAGAATTTTTAAATATTGCTTAGCATCTTTGTTGCATCAGTTGATGCTTAGGTTTTTGTTTCTTTTTAAATTGGGATTTGTTTGGGGTCACACCTTGCTCTGCTCAGAGCTTCCTTCTGGCTCTGTGTTCAAAGATCACTCAGACGACCATATGTGGTTCTGGGAATCAAGCCTGGTTCAATCATGTACAAGGCAAGCACCTTAACCCCTGTATTGTTTCATCAGCCCTCTACCTAATATTAAACATGGTGCATTTAGTATAATGCTAGTGATGTGTTCTTAAAGATATCAATGGCAAATTAATAACAAGAGTAATAATTAAGAATATACTTAGATCCAGGTATTGTGCTAAATGTTATAAATTATCATTTAATGCAAAATACCTAATCCATTGGATAAAATATATAAGCTCATCAATTTAATAAGTGGCAAACTAAGAAAAGTTTATAGTTTTTCCCTAGTCGTGTGAGCTAAATGATATGTGCAGAGCTAGTCTCAGATTGTTCTCAATCCTAACCTTTGAACCACAATGCATAGTAAGTTTAAGATTATTTAAAATGAAAATTCCTCTTGTTCACAAAATAGCTCACAAAAACGTCTGTCAACTTCTTTTTCATATGTTCAAAAGAAATTATGTGGTTTTTTTTCTATTGAGAAAAGAAATGGTGATTAAGAACCAGACTAGTACCTAATTCTAATCTAAGTCCTGTCATCAGCTTGACCTTAGAGAAGTTTCTAAATGTTAGGATATTCTTCTAGATGGGGACTTCCTATGAGTCTAAAATTATTCGAGAGCAAGATTTTGTAGCTTTTATCTTCGGGCTGGAGCAATAGCACAGCGGGTAGGGCATTTGCCTTGCACGCAGCCAACATGGCCGACCCGAGTTCGATTCCTCCGCCCCTCTCGGAGAGCCCGGCAAGCTACCGAGAGTATTCGATATGCCAGACACAGTAACAACAAAGTCTCCAATGGAGACGTTACTGGGCCCGCTTGAGCAAATCGATGATCAACGGGAGGGCCTTTACCTTTACCTTACCTTTATCAGATCTTCAGAGTCACAGAACTCAATGATAAATATGAAGAACTAGCAAACTAGATCCTATCTAAAATCTCCTCCACATACCTTTGAAGTACTATAATTTTGTGTTGCCACCTAAAATGGCAAGGAGTTATAGTGTGTCTTATGGTCTGTTGTTCTGGAAAAGTTTTAACTTTAGTTGCTTTCTCTTCAAATACCTTTGGTCTCTAGCTTTGTTACATGTTGAAACAGCATGATTTAAGATATTTCTTAAAAGTAACTGTGGGCTGGAGCCATAGCACAGCGGTAGGGCATTTGCCTTGCATGCAGCCAACATGGTCAACCTGAGTTTGATTCCTCCGCCCCTCTCGAAGAGCCCAGCAAGCTACTGAGAGTATCTCACGGCAAAGCCTGGCAAGCTCCCTGTGATGTATTCCAGATGCCAAACACAGTAACAAGCCTCACAATATTACTGGGCCTGATATGCCAAACACAGTAACACATCAAACCAATGAACAATGGGAGGACAGTGCTTAAAAGTAGCTGTACTAGTTTGACAAATGTGTTGTGTGAAATAAGGAACTGGGTTTTAAATGATTAACAAACACTATTTCTTGAATAGAGAGGCTTCCCAAAGAAAATACGGGCATTAGAAAAAGCTAAAATGAAACATCTGCTTAATACAATTCTATTGGCAGATGTCATACTTCTTTATAAAAAAAACAAAAATTTGATCTTTCTTCCTTGTCCACCCTTTTTGAAACAAAGTCCACAAAGTGGTAAGAACTGGAATGTGAGAAATGCAAGAGGAAAAATACATATAGTCTCTATGTCACATATAAAATAATACATATTTATTCGTATTCAATTGTTCCAAATATATATCCTTAAGGCCACATCTCCATGGTAAAATTTTCTTGGTGCAGCACCTCTGTCATTCATATTCTGAGAGAGACCTCTGCTTGTTGTAAGCCAATTCAAATAAATGACAGGAACCTCTTTACAGAGTAGCTGTCAAAGTTTTCACTGCTGAACATGAACACTCACCTTACTATTCAGGGAGAAAAAAGAAGACCTTTAATTCACTACCTCCACCTAAATATTGACATTGCCCATGTACAGTGGGTAGATGTCATGGCCAGATTCGCTTGGCTCTCCCAACATGGGACAATGAATTAAGTCTTGACTTTCCCTGGACTAGGAAGTTATCATCCCTGACAGCTCAGCAAGCAAAGTATGTGTCTTGACATCATCCCTGAAATGAATCACTAGCATTAGAAGGCCTATTCTTCTAACATGTCATGATCTGGGAAGGTTGCTTACTGCAGAATTGGCATTAGAGCACAAAGAATGTTGGAATAGAAGCCGATACTCAGCCTCCCATAAATCTTTACAGCAACAGCACTGTTGCTGTTTAAAATGTTTCTTTTTCAAAAAGCAAACCAAAATAACATTGCTAGTTGTTGGGCCACAAAATTCACTTCCCAAGAGTTGTAAAATATACTCTGAGGGTAGGTTGTCTCCATCTCCATCTTCACCTCAGTCTAAACAGTCAGACTACAGACAGATAGGAAGCAGGAAGACTCTCTCTTTCTCTCTCTCTCTCTCTCTCTCTCTCTCTCTCTCTCTCACACACACACACACACACACACACATACAATATCCAGAAGTAGAATATAGACAGAAATCGAAAACATGATTTTATGGCATTCATTCTCTTGTAGAGGAAATTAAAGGAGCTACTTTTCTCAGAGGGAAGGAACGTAGATTTTCTAAAACAAGAATAACTCACCTACTGTTGTTATGTACTGCGGAAGAGTTTTAGGCTGGTCTTTCCCAGGTTCAAGATTCCTTAGGCTTTCAAATCTCTCTGGACAGTATCTTGTAAGTAAACCTGCTTCATTAAAAGCTGCCATAGTCTCAGGAGGCTCTGAACATGCAGACTTCAACAATCTGCCACCAGCATAGAAGAAAGTGCTGTCTGCCCCATGGCTCTTGCCTTTCAGGTTTCTAAATGATCTGTCAAGGACTGTGGATTCAGAGGCCAGTGCTACTTGATGGCTATTTTCCTGTGAAAGTGGCATTTCCTTTCTGGACCCCACAATGGACATGACCTTTATCTCGTTTTCCTGAGTTAAGTGGCAGTTACAGTATCCCTGAGCGTGGTAATTTCTTGCCTCATGAGCACACAGGGATTCATCGGAGGTTCTGCAACAAAGATTTTCTGATATGTGTTCATTTGCTTTGCCTTGTTGAAGTTTCCAGTTAAATATAACTAAGCCTAGGCAAGTAAGACCAACAGCTCCTATGAAAAAGATAGAGATCATTAAAAGAAAACATCAGAGGAACAAACATAAATCATTAAATATGAAATTCACAAATATTAGGTTTGTTAAATATTCAAAGGGAATCAGAATGAATGATAAATGCATGACCATGCAGAAAAATAACAGTCCAGACATGGTTCTATTGTTCAATTTGTATCTTTCACTGTAGCTATTAAAATTTTTAAGAGACCATAACATCTTCAGTATCTGTGGTAGGAAAATATTTGTGGATGGCAATTCACGTATAAAAAATAAGACATGTATTAAAATTATTTTTTGACTTGGGAAATGAGTTTAATTTTGTATTTCCCATGTCCTAATTCTACAGTCATTATAGACAACATGCACTATAGTCCCTGAAATTCTAAAATACCATAGCATCCTCTTTAAAAAAAATTGATTCTGTATGTTTTTACCATATTTTAAACATACCTAAAAGACCATAGCCTTTCCAAATATATCATGGTTCCCTATTTCATAAAAGTCAAGTTTCTTGGTCTTCAAGACTCTGAATCCGGCCATAATCTACCTTCCTAACTTCTTGAAAAATTCAAAATATCTCTCTTATTCATACATCATGTTTCAAATTCTTCATTGATCTTAAAAGGTCTTGTGTATGCTGTTCTGTTAGAGCTTTTATTTATTTAAATTTTATTCTTTAAGATCTTAATACTAGCCTCTATTTATTTAAATTTTATTCTTTAAGATTTAATAAATTTCTCAGATTTATCCTTCTATTTGCTTTCTTTTCCATTTTTCCAAAGATCTCTCTCTTCTGTGAATGTCTAATCACAAACTTCCTAGTACTTTTACTTTATATTCTTGAAAATATTGCTTATTCTTTGAATAAAAATTATAAAAGGCAGTGTTTTTAAAATTCAAGTGCAGATTATAAATATTTTTCTTATCTCAGCAAATTACATACATTCAAAGATATCAGTAAACAAAATTCAATAACATATTAGATCGTACACCATGATTTAGTGAAATTTATTGTAAGAATGCAGGGATAGTTCAACAAATAAAAATCTATTCTGGTGATATATCAAATCAATAAAATTAATTTGAATAAGTTTGAATAATGTAATCATCTCAATAGATGCAGAGGAAGCATTTAGTCAAATTCAGCATCAATAAATAAAATTGATGTAGAATATGCACACCTGAATATAATAAATGCTTTTACATATATAAGCAATAAGCATATATATAGAAATAATAATTCCAAATATTTTTTATCACATACTCAAAAAGAATAAAATGCCCAGGAATAAATTCAACAAAAGAAGTGAATAGCTGCATGATAAAAAGCATGGCATTGATTTTTAAAAAATGATAATAAAAAGCAAAGAAATGGGAGAATATGCCCATGGGTCAGAGTAATCTTAAATTTTACATAGACCCACAATATCTGAAATATCCAACATAATTCTAAGAAAAATGAATAAAAAAGTGAAGGACTCATACATCCTCACTTGAAACTATACTATAAAGCTATAACAATAAAGAACTGTGGTACTAAAATAAAAACACTCACAGATCAATGGAATAGAATTAGTAGTCCATTAACAAAACCACACATGTGGAAAACCGACTTGCTTATTCTTTGAATAAAAATTATAAAAGGCAGTGTTTTATAGGCCATAAAACTAAGAGCATAGAATGGAAAAAGAAAATTCTCCATGAATGGTACTGGAAAGATGTATAGTATTTTACAAAAAAATAAAACTAGATCACTCTTACATCATAGGTCAAGTTTTATTTAAAATATGTTGAAGACTTGAATATAAGATCTAAAATCATAAAACACATGATGAAAACATAGGTGACAAGCTCTTTGCTATGACCATTACTGATGATTATGCATTCATCTCTAAGAGGAAAAAAATCTATAAAGAGATAAACAATTGGAATCTCATGAAAACAAAAATCTTTATAGTGAAAGAAGCCATTGTCAATAAAATAAAAACAGCCTTGGGCCAGATCTCTGGTACAGCATGTCAATGGTTTTGCCTTGCACATAGCTAATGGGCACAAAGTCAGGATAATCCCTGAGCACAGATGAGTGTGCCCTCCCACCCTCAAATAAGCAGTCTACTTAGTTGGAAATATAGTTATATGCATATATTTGCAAATATAGATAAAGGGTTAATATTCAATCTATATAAATAACAACAGAAAACCCAAAACCCCAAATATAATTAAAAATAGGCAAACAATATTAAAACATATTTCACAAAGAAGATGTGCAAATGGTCAATAGACACATAAAAAGTTGTTCTGTATCATTTATTGTAGGATAACACTGTTTTGTCCTTCCTGCATAGCCTCAGGTAGTTTAGGTATATTGGGTTTCTCCCATCACAGTGCTCCCATTCCTTTTGTTTATTTGTAACTTCTTTCTTTGTGCTCTGTTGACTTGTAAATATTGTTTTTCTCTCCTCTCTAAGTCCTTTGCATAGTTTATTCAGAGCAAGGTCCTTTTTGTATGGACACAAGAAGACATGCTTTTGTAATGTGACTCTGGGCATCTCTTCTCTCACCTAAGCCTCAGCTGCCTTTACTTCCTAGCGCCCTCAAAAGCATGGTCCCAACCCAAGGAGGGACTGGATGGAACCAGGGCAAGTGGTAAGCTATGTGCTACCCTGGCATCCAGATGGGCCTGGCCAAAGAGCCATAATGCCTAACTATAAATTAAGAGCTTGGGCATGGACAAATGCTGTCATGATCCAAAAAGTAATAACTCGATTTGGACCCTGCTAGGGTTAGGAAAGATTAATCTGGCCTGAGCGCTGTAGTCTGAGTCTGTGACAAGATGTTCCCAGGACAGTTGCCCTACAAACCTCAATGTTATCTCTTACTGTGTCCATACAAAAATAACTAGTATTAAGATATTGATAGAGTTATTTAACTAAGGAAAAGAGAAAAACACCTTAAGGGGTATTTTGCCCTTGGGCAGTCAGGAAGGGCTTTGGAATACCTCTTAAGTGTTGTTCCCTTTGAACCTGGGTGGGCCATCAGGAAGGGTTTTCTTATGTTGATTTTGCTAACTTGACTGGGTGCAGTGTCAGCCCAGAGTGCTGGGGAGTTGGAGAGACCAGAGAGCTGGAGAGGGGAGAGAGAAAGCAGGGCAGCATGATAAACCGTGGAGAGACTAGCAAGGGGGACAGAGAGAGAAGAATGTAGAAGAATACTGGAGCAGCTATGTGCAGAGAGATAGCCAAGCTGCGAGATGGAGCGGAGAGATGAGCGGGAGAGACAGGAGGAAACGGGAATGAGAGTGTGAAACCAGAATGGGAGGCTCTGGGAGACTGGGGCAGGCGCGTGACTAGAATGGAATAAATGGCAACTGATCAATCAACCTGCTTGACCCATGTCTTCTCCACTCTCTTCCCCAGGGCTCAGGCTGCCCTGCCTGGGGGAGCGACCCAGGCCCACCCAGAAACTGGGTGGCCAGGGAAGAGCCATTAGGGCCACTCCCTGACCAACCGAGAGGTTTTTTACAATTTATGATTCATAAAATATAAGCAAAAATCACAATGAGATTTTCCTTTCATACCAGTTATAATGGCATACTCAAAAGTTGAATAAACAATCCTGTTGGTGTTGATATGAAGATACTGAACCACTTTATGGATGGCTATGTTAATTGCTATATCCACTACAAAAAACAGTATGGAGGGTTTTGTTTTCAAATCTTTTTAAATAGAACTATATTATAGCCCAATATTTCTATCTCTGGGGATTTGTGTGAAGAGTATGAAAATATTAAAGAATATTCCTGGGTGGAGCAAGAGTACAGTGGTAGGGTGCTTGCTTTGCATGCAGCTGTCCTGGGTTCAATGTTGACATCTCATAGAGTCCTCTAAGCACCGCCAGGAGTAGTTCCTTGGTGCAAAGCCAGGAGCAACCCCTGAGCAACATCAGGTGTGGCCCCCAAACACTAAATATTTATTTATCTCACTCTGACTAATTTTATTTAGCATAATTTTATCAAGGTCCAATAGTTACAACAGATGGTACAATGTCATCTTTTTTAATGTCTGAGTAATATTCTATCATGCTTTTCTGCACCAAATTTCTTTATCCAGTCAGGTTGTTGTCATATTTTGGCTATGGTGAACAGTGTTGTAATAAACACAGGGATAAATAAAGTACTCTTCCCTTCCAATTAACTCTCTTTTAGATACCTCAATTTTTATTCTCAGTTTAAAAGATTTTTTTCCTCAGACACTTCCTATGCCCTTGCTTTCTTTCCTTTCGTACACCTAATATTTGAAAAATAAATCATTTTTAAAATAGATGCCAGTTAGATTTAAACATATTTATTGGTATATCCTACAGTTTGGGTTTTCCAAACAAAATTTTGGTTTCAAAATGTGAAAACTTATGTAAATAATACAGCTTTAAAAGCACTATACATCTCTTACAGAAAAGTCAGGATTCAAATCTCTATTCTGATTCCACTCTTGGAAAAGTTTTCTAACTTTTTAAGCCTTTTCCCCTCCTCTATCAAATGGTGATAATTGGGACCTCTCAGGCAGGAGACTCTAAAACCCAGCTCCCGGAAGAGTCTCCTGCCCCGGCGCCTGGCTGTTCTCAGTGGGGCCCCTTGGGGGGGAGCGGGTAGAGTTTTCCTCCCCGCCCCGACCAGGGCTCCTGCAGCCGAAGACCTCCAGAACCAACCACCACCATGCTGAGACCACTCTCCGCACACATGAAGGTACCGGCAGAGGAACAAAGGCACGCAGGTCCCGGGGCTGAGATCTCCAAGCCTACTTGGATTAGGGCTGAGCATGCTCCACCCAGATCCTCCAAATTCCAAATTCCAGTGGGGGGGCGAAGGGGGGGCGGGGGCGGGTGTTCCACACCCACCAACTGGCCCCCTGGCGCCGTGTAATCCCATCAATGGCCAAGACTCAGAGACTATAAAACCCAGCTCCTGAAAGTGACATCTTATCATCTCATTCCTACTTTGGACAAACTGGCAGGCTACCGAATGTAACCTGCCCACATGGCAGAGTCTGGCAAACTCTCCGTGGCGTACCCAATATGCCAAACACCAGTAACAATGAAGGGTCTCATTCTCCTAACTCTGAAAGAGCCTTGAATATGGCACTTTTTTAAAAAATCTCAGGGCTAGGACGAAGGAGACGTTACTGGGGCCTGCTCAAGGCAATCGACGAATAACAGGATGGTTGTGATTGATTGATTGATAGTAATCCTCAATAAATGATCATGGTGGTTTATGATTATTACTTCTACTGTTTAGGTTTAGTTGCCCCAATAGATCCTAGAAACCTCAGTTGATAGCAAAAGTCCCCCATAACCCCCAATCATTAATATCCCATTATACAGGGCCTGAGAAATAGTACAATGGGTTGGCGCTTGCTATGCATGCAGCTGAGACCTGGGTCTGATTCCCAGCACCCCATATGGTCCCCCAAAGCCAGCAGGAGTAATCTCTGAGTGCGGACCAGGAGTAAGCCTGAGAACCATGGGTGTGACCTCAAAATAAACAAACAAAAATACTGTATGACTAATGCAGATATTAAGCCAAATAACCAAGGAAAGAAGTAAATTTTTGTTAATAATACAGTATCATCGGCAATTGAAATAAGAGTAAGCATAATTTGATTATAGGAAAAAAGTGTGTACCTATCTCTAATTGTATCTAAATGGCTAGAAACCACTCTTTCTCCTACTGGTGATGCTAGAGCTATATCTGTATCACATTACCAATCAGGTATGGTCACTTTCCATTAGTGCAGAGAACAGAAGTAGCAAATGAAGCTTGTAGGTAGGCTGAACATGCTATTAAGAAGATAGTTAGATTTTCATTGCCATGGGCATTTTGCTATTTTTAAAAAGTGTTCTAACAATCTTTCTGAGTTAAAAAAAAATACAGGAAAAGTAATAAGTTCTCACTGAAGTACTTAAAACCTGTTACAGCTTTATGTAAATTTTTTCTTCTTATTTACCAATTTCCAGAACAAGAAGCATCAAGATGTCAGAGTCTGGTACCAAATAACCACTTATTAACATAAATTTATTGAAATTGATTTTTGTATTCCTTTGACTTGTTGAAGAAGAAAGTGGAATCAGAGGCTAAAATATCTTTTAAATGTTTATTTTTGGGGAGATGTAGAGATTGAACTTAGGTCTCATGCATACGAGGTACTTTTTCTTTTACCATTAAAATGTGTTCCTAGTCCCTCAGAGGTAAAGTTACAATTCTAAATCTTTGTCCAAATATCTACAGGTGTAAAAGTAAAGGTAATTTTCACTTGAGAAGAAATTTTAACGGATTAAATTGATTTCATAACTTAGTTTTTTAAAATTGTATCTAAACTTGGTGAAGGATACAATTAAAAATGTCATTTCTCACACTATAACCTAATATGTACACAATCAGATTTATGATTCAGCAGAATTTAGCAGTTAAAACGTATCAGATTTTGACAAAAACTTTTGAATGGTCTATCTCTACACAAATGTAGTATTGTTAATTAGGCACATCTTTTGTGAAAACATATTTAAAAGATATCCTAGTATAATCACCCTATTGTAGTATTTCCAAAATGATGTTCTACAAAACAACAATTCAATGAAATCAACTATGTTGGGGGGGGAGCAGGGGGGCGATTCATGGTTAAGTATGTTTGAGAAATGCTCTGTTATATCTTCCTTTTAAAGTTTCATAATGTATATTAGAAAATGAAAGTCTATAAAAAATGCTGAAACAAAGATGTCATTTGCACTATTTCAAGCACTGCCCCAAATACTTGAACCTTCAAATGTTTTGCTTATATGTATATCTATTTATGTTTGGGGAGGAAGGGCCCTTCCTTGCAGTTGTCAGGGAGCCAGGGGTCACTCCTGGTTATCCCCAACCCCCTAGGTTAGCAATATAATGCTAGAGCATGAGGATGTGGTGCTGCTTAGGCTCTGCTGTTTCTGGGACCACTAGGGCCACCCAGTAGTGCTCAGGGGTCTCTAGGAATATACCCAGCAATGCCCAGGAGGCCTCTGGTGCTGAGGATGGAACCCTGGTTTCCTGGCTCCTGTCAGTTTTTAATAGGAATATCTGTTATTTCCTAGAAGTACTTTTCTAAGAAACACCTAGGAACACATCTGCTGCTTTCTTGCTTTTATCTTACATGATAAATTATCTCTTAGTGAAATTACTGTCATGATTGCACAATTCTTTAAACAATAATCTTTCTGAGAGGAACTGAATTTACTTCTAACTGAGTCTGACTATCATTGGTGTTTTTTTTTTTTGTCTAAACCTGTTGCCTATCTCCTATCATATGTCCCACTAAAAGTATAAACCATTAAGACATAAAATGCTGATGTTCCATTAATAAACTGTAAACCTACTAAGGAATATTTATTTAGAAGACATATTTGAAATGCATAAATTCGGTCCTAGATGCCATTTGGGACCTCAGGTTTTACAGCTCTGGAAAACCATCATATTCCTCCCCCTTCCCATCACCACACACACACACACACACACACACACACACACACACACACACCACCACGGTTACCTACACATTGGAAGTTTAGCCCGGAAACAGATTTTGAGATATGCCCTGCCCATTTGGTCCTTAATAATGATCACTTTATAGCACTCATTCAGTGACATATTAATAAAGCCACATAGGTGTTTTTTTTTAAAGTTTTAAGCTACCATAGAAAAATTTAAAAGGTTGAATATCATCATTTTTTTTGCTATTTTGAGGAAATAATGATCCTGTAATGCAAAAGTTGGGCAAATATAAATCATAATCCTAAATCCCAAGCATAAGGAAACCAAGCTACAGAGAAGTTGGTTAATCTACCTAGAGTCACAGAGTAATATTTTGGAGTTAAACCAGAATAATCCAAGTATAGAGCTCATGCATTTAATCAATTTGCTGTAAAAACAAACACTATAAAGTAAGATTTTGTGTAGATCATAATAGTATCTCCTTTTATGCTTGATAAAGTCCAGTGTTCCTCATTTTCTACCACAGAGATGTGATTGCCATGAGAAAAGAAAAGAAGCTGTCTCATTACCCTTTCAATCCATATTTCCTAGAATTTTAACAAATGCACCAGTATTCTTTGGTTTGGGATTATTGACAAATTATAGATCCTACTTATGAGTTACAGTCAAGAAATGTAAATTGAATGTTCTTACTTAGGATCAGACTGCCAGTTCAATCAATGGTAGGTTTGAAATTCTGAACCCAAACACTTTTTCTCTGTGTTAGCTTCTCTGCAAAAGGAAATTCTTACAATCTATCACAAATCAACTAATCTCTTCAGAAACTCTCATCATCTCTAGCCATGAACCTTGGAAACATTCCCAACAGTCTGCGAAAGGCATCACTTAGTATTCTTTGTGGTTGTGGACAAGAGAAGGGAGAAATGAACACACATATCCCAGGCATACCTGCAAGGCCAAGAACAGTCAGCAGGGCCACATCATGCCCTGGAAGGAGGGCTCTTCCGTCCTTTAGAACCAGAGTGAGGTTGGGAGCCTTGGAATCACAGCTGGTATCTGACAGCCTCAGCACATTTTTTGCTGCGGCCATTGCTGTTGTGATGAGAAGCTGACAATTTAGATCCTTGGCATTTATGGATGTGTGAACAGAAGACTTCATGTAATTTCTTAAAAATGGAGCAAGGGAGTGGATTTCACAACTGCAACTCCACTCATTCTTATCTAAACTCAAGAGGATTAATTGCTTCCTTGAATTAAAAATATATGGCACATGTGGACGAACATATTTCTGGAAGGGTCCATTTCCTTTGGTTGAGGCAGGGACTGGAGGTCATCTTTCCCAATGCAGGAAATCAGAGAAATCCAGATGCTAAGTTCCAGTATCTGCAGGTTGTAATGTTTGCTGAAGGAGTGAACAGTGAGCAAAGAGCTGTATATTTGATTGTGCTCCAGCAATAACATCTGCAACTTTGAAAAGCCTGGCAGGGCATCTTCCAGAACAACTTCCATGCCATTTCTGGTCAATGAGAACAGGGCAAGATTAAACAAGGAGACATTGGTGCTCTCTTTAAAGGACACATATCCATCAGCTATGATTAAAACCTTCGTGGTCACAGGGGCCGCTATAGGGAAGAAAGACACAGACAAAAAGCAAGACTCGAGTGAGTGAGAAGGAAAGACAGTGGAGAGCAGACCTAATCGATACCCTCAGAGACATCAGTACCACTTGGGTGATAACTGTAAACAAACTGAAAATGATTCATTTCTCAATTCAAGGGAAAGGTGGCTCTTTACCAGAATGATGGATTTTTACATTTTTGGTTGCTATGAAATGTTTATTTGAGAAATATAAACCCATCTGTTTCTCAGTTGTCAAAGACAATTCATTGTTTGGGATTATGATCGCCAATGGATTCTTTGTTTATGATGGAAGGTGGCTTTTCCTTTCTTTGACCAGCACTGATCTGCTCCAGTCCTGATGGGCCAGGGATAGATTTCGCCCCAGAGCTGAGTCTGAGTTCGGGTTTCTCAACCAGCTTTTCACTAGCAGTGTGTATTTCTGTTGTGAAGTCAGTCATCTTTTTCCTCTCAAACACTAATGTGTGAGGAAAGGTGAGGAGTATTGTTTTCTGATACGTTGGGGTTTTATTTTTGCTTTTTTCAGCTCCAGGCTAAAAGTTGGCAACTTAGTATGGATCTATATTCTCTCCCGACAACCCAAGGATTTGTCAGTGGGGATCTCATTATAGTCTGGGCCATCCTGGCCTCCTGTCTAATATCTGTGCCCTCCAATGAAGTCCATCATGTGATGACAGGTGGTACTCAGGGCTTCCAACTGTTAAATCCCTCTACCATAATCACCTCAGAGCTATCACTGCTTCTGTCATTAGGAATCAAAGCATTTTAACTCAATAAAGATGTATTATAATCAAGAGTTATTGTAACACATCTTTATCATGCTAAAATTGTTTTGACTGCAAATGACAGTGTCATAAGGATGGAAGAGCCCATTGTCCCTGGGAGGTCTACAGGTGATATTGGAACAATCAACTGTGGGAAAAGCAAATGACAGTTCTCTTATGAAATTCAGACTTTATTATTGAAACAAAGAGACATAAAAAAGTTAAAATGTAAAAGACAAAGAGATTTCAGAATGCCTTCTTTTGGAAGAATTGTTCCAATCTTTACAACGCAAACATCATGATGTTTAAGTATTTATTACTGGTTATTTGAATTCTATTAATTCTGGCCAGTTTCTCATTTTGTTCCTCTCATTATTATGTTTGATATGGGTTGAGGGAGTTTTGTTTTTGTAGATCCCTAGTCCTCAAGGAATTTGTCGACTCTGAGGGAACAGATGATTTTTTTTTCTGTCAATTATGTTTTATCTAGAAGTAGACAGAAGATCTACTCACAAGTCATCCATTTACTTTCTTTTTTTTTATGAAATCCAGCTTCAGAAATGTGGCATTCTGTAACAGAGAAGGAAGAAATAGAGACAAAAAATGTAGATGAGCAATTTTTTTTCATACAGATATCCGCTATCGCTAACCAGAAAAAAATATGTGGGAAGTAAATTCACTTGAGACAGAGGAAGTTTACTGTTTATGTGTAGATACCAACACACCTTGGAACTATTTCTCTTCTGTCAAAGAGGAGAATAACATCTACCTCCTAATTCTGAGCCTCTTAAAGATTTTAGAAATGAAGGAAATCATCTTCTATTCTATCTTAACTTGGATTTATTTCTAAAATCTCTCCATTGGCAGAGCTTATATCTTGTTTGTGTCTTCTTGGATATCAGGATGTAAATCACATTCTCCTCAAATTTGTTAATAAGGTGTCTTATTAAATTGTTGACTTAAGCAAGCAATATGTAATGAATACAGGCAGTGTATCTTGTTAGCATTTCTACAGCTCATTTACCACCAATAAAAAAAAAGACTAGACTTTCAAAATTAGATGCACTTTGATAATAATCTGTTTTGATAGTACATCACTTAATCTTACTAATGCTGAACAATTGCAGTTCAGGTTTTTGATTCATTGATATTTCTTCCAACCAGTTGTAGAGTTCAAATCTGTAGTGTGGACAAAAATGTAATTAAAGCCATATATATGTTTTTATTAAAGAAAACATGTAACTTCATCAAATGGTGACTTAACATTTATAATAGAAAAACATCTCAGTTGCTTCTGGAGGTATTAAAATTGGTTTGGTTGGGACCACCAAAAGCAGGACAATAAAGTGATGTTAGAAGTAATCTATGATTATAGGGCAAAGACTTGCTTTTTTAAACATTTCATGATGAACCCAAAGAGCAGTGAATACAATGATCAGATCTAAGAAAGTTTTCAAATGCACTGAACACTGACTGCCTTTTCACATCACTGCTCGTATTATCTACTGTATAGTTTAGCTGGTGACAGAGTGCTACATCTTGGTGTAACCACACGTGAGTTGCTATGAGCCACAGCAACATGGCATAGGGTATGCGCCATCTACCTGGAAGAAAAGTAGAGAGTAATGCCTGTTACAATGTTAGCATTTATTATCCATGATTTGAATATATTAGGGTCATGAGGAGTTTTACTTTATAATGAACAGTTTGGCTTCTCCCAAGATGTCAGATAGCTTCAATCTTTAATTTGCATAGAATTTAAATTAAACTAAGGTATCTAACTATAAATTCAGAGAGCTAATATCCAGGATGCACCCATTAGTATGTGTTATATTAAAGGTTAATACTCTGTAAAACATCTTAAACTTTGTAGATCTTTTGTAATGATAGTCTGAAGAAATATGTAAATTCATTAATTCTATTATTTTATTCAGCAGTAGTTTTTAAACACCTCCCTTTGCTAGGCATTGCTTAAGGCATTGGAGACAGAGTAGCAGATACCAATAATAAACCCTTGTTTTGTGTGGCAAACAGTCTATAAAAAGATGTTAAGAATAATCAAATGAGAAAAGAATCAATATGAAAATATGTAAAAAATCATACCAGTACTTTGAATTAAAGCAAAAGTCAGGGTTTAGGGGAGGCTGTGAGGGTGCTGGATAGCAGTAGATTGGGCATTCTAAATGTACTGGACAAGGAGAAAATTCTGATAAAGTAGCACTTAACAAAGACCTACGAAACATAAAAGTGCACTAGTAAATCCAGTTGAGGAGGATATAAGTACAAAATTCTGAGGGCACGTTATGTTTGGTCTGCAGAGGTCAGCATGATTATTGTGGGTACTTAAGAGGAAGAGGAAATAATGATTCTCTCAGGAGCCAGTTGGCTTTGGTTGGTTTGTTTTATAAGTCCTGCTTCAGTGTTACTGGTGGTGGAGGGGGGAGGGAGGGGAGCAAAACAACTCCAACAATATTTGATGAGTCCCAGGGTTGTATCTAAATGTGCTGAGGTGGTGTCAGTGTCAGGAATCAAACCCAGGCCTTGGCATATGTTCAGCATGTCTTCTACCGTTTGAAATATCTTCTCAGCTGCAAGTGCTTCTTCTTCTTTTACCCAAATGAGATCAGTAGTAACTGGAGGATTTTGTGAGTGGCATTACTTTATCTGAAGTACAGTTTGAAATGATTATTTTGGCTACTGTGTTGGGAACATATTTTTAAGAGGCAAAAAAAATCAACAGAAATAATTATAAGGCAATTATAATTAATCACTTAAGTGATATAATCACTTCCTGTTAGTCGTCGATTTGCTCGAGCGGGCGCCAGTAACGTCTCCATTTGTCCCTGTCGCGTGCTAGTGTAGCCCAATGGCATCTGTTTGCTCTGGGAACATGAAGAGCCTCAAACCGATCCTTCATGATCTTCACGAAGAAGTCTGACCATCTGGTAGGTGGGCGGCCACGTGGTCTTTTGACATTCTGTGAAATCCAGTCAGTAACAGCTTTAGTCCAGCAGAGGTCTTTAAATCTCACTACGTGACCAGCCCATCTGATTTTTGACACCTTGGCAAATGAGACAGCGTCCCTGATTCTTGATCGTCGACGGATGTCGGAACTCCAGATTTTTTCTCTCATTTGAGTGAAACGTGATATTCCAAGCATAGCTCTTTCTATTCTTCTTTGGGAGACCTGAATAGCATTCTCATCCTGTTTGCATAGGGCCCAGGTCTCTGAGGCATATGTTAATGCAGGAAGAACAGTGGAGTCAAAGAGATGTGCCCGGAGCTGGAGGTTCTTTGTCCTCTTAGCTATTTCTTCAACGTTCTTGAAGGCATTCAAAGCCACTCTCTTCCTCCTGCACAGCTCGGGTGCCAGGTCATTTATCATGTTGACTTCTCGACCTAGGTACACATAGCTGTTGCATTCGGAGATGGTCGTTCTGTTGAGAGCGAATGGGGCATCAGGAACGAGGCTGTTTCTCATAAACATTGTCTTCGTAAGATTCAGCTGTAGTCCTACCTTTCCACACTCACGGTCAAAGTCGGCCAGCATTTGTGCCGCTTGGCTGATGTTTGGTGTTATTAAAACAATGCCATCAGCAATGCGGAGGTGGTGTAATTGCCGACCATCTACCTTCACTCCCATTCCTTCCCATTCCAGTCGTCGCATGATGTTCTCGAGGGTGGCACTGAAGAGTTTCGGTGAAATGGTATCACCCTGCCGAACACCTCTCTTGACATCAACGATCACTTCTTTGTAGAATGGTGAGATCCTGGTAGTGAATCCGCAATACAGCTCACAGAGGATCTTGATGTATTGGGCTTGAATGCCCTGATTGGCTAGGGTTTCAATGACCGCTTCCATCTCAACAGAATCAAAGCCCTTCTTTAAATCAATGAACGTTAAACAGAGCGGCATCTTGAACTCCCGAGAAACCTCAATGAGTTTGGTTATTGTGTGGATATGGTCAATGGTGCTGAATCCTTTGATGAACCTGGCTTGCTCGCATGGTTGTAGTTCATCTAGTGTTCTGCCAATCATATTTAGGATGACTCAAGTGAACAACTTGTAGATGACAGAAAATAGGCAGATCGGGCGATAGTTGCCAATGTCATGGATGTCTCCCTTCTTGAACAGTAGTACAGTCCTGCTGGTTTTCCATTGGGATGGAACCTTGCATTCAGACAGGTAGCGAGTGAAGAGCCGAGCCAGTGTATTGATGAGTACTGATGGCAGGTTCTTCAGGTGTTCAGGTCTGACCTTGTCTGGGCCGGATGCTGTTTGTTTCTTTACCGAAGAAATGGCGTGTCGGATTTTGGAAGGGAGAACGTTGGAAACGACATATCCATCCTGTGGAATTTGG